ATTGCATTCAAAGCACAACACTGACATGACCCAAGGGCATTGCGTACTTCTTCACACACCGTGCTCTATGGAAGCCTCTCGCTGCGAAACTGGTCCCTACTGTCTCGCTCGGTCTTGGTGTCACCGTGCTCATGTTTGCCGTCACATACATTCCCCAAGTCGCACTTCTCACCCTTTTCAACGGACCACTCGCAGTCTTCACCACGGTTCTGCTCGTACTCAGCGAGTCGTCCACTATCTTCTCGGTTCTCAGCAAGAACTTCCTCATTGACGAAGCGCTTATTGATACCTTTGATTCAACCTTGGTCAGCCGCAACCAGACCACATTAGTTTCCAAAGAGCGCCAGGTAAAGTCGGGAACTGACCCTGTTGCGAAACTGGGCAAGCTCGTCTCGAAGCCTTTCGCAAAATTCGCCCCCAGCGCCATCATCCGATACTTCATGTACCTTCCGCTCAACTTCATCCCAGTCGTGGGCACCGTACTATTCGTCATCCTCCAAGGACGCAAGTTTGGTCCCACCGCACATGCCCGCTACTTCCAACTCAAGCAGATGAAGAAGCAGGAGAAGGAGCGCTTCATTGACGAGCGCAAGGCCGCATATGCTAGGTCGGTCCGTCTACGTGTAGTCATACTCAGACCACTAACCTTCCATAGTTTCGGCATCCCAGCTGTCCTCCTTGAACTCGTCCCGATTGCCGGAATCTTCTTTTCTTTCACAAACACCGTTGGCGCTGCGTTGTGGGCTGCCGATATGGAGCAGGGCGTTCAAAGCGGCGAGGCTAGCACCACGGCGCCGAACCTACGCCAACAAGCTGAACTGGCCAAGAATAGGCGGGAGTTGTGAGAATACACTGCTCTCGGTGTGAGGATAGATTCTTATCAAGTGGTGCTAATGATTTCGTCCAAGTGAAGTCGAGCCTTATGTTCGTTACGGAACTGATGGACGCTACCGATACCCGTGGAAACCTTAGTAGGCGCGAGGCAATCTGCTTGGTTGGCCGTAACATTCAGGAACTGTGTTGTTAGGGTGCTGTTGCCATGAACTGTGATAGCATTTGGCTCCACAGTGGCTTATCTAGTGACAACAAAAACCAAAGACCTTCTCAGGATATTGGTTACATAACAACACTGTGACGCTTTTATGCAGCGCCCGTCTGTTCATGTTCCACCCCAACACGTAAAAACTAATGAATGATCAAATTCTGATAACTATGGCAATCGCGAAAAGCGACTAAAGACTTTTTCACATCACTTTCCGTGGCAGCTTTTTCCTGCGATGAAGATGTGTGAACACACTTTAGGCTCGAACCAAGGACAACTCAAATGTTGCACGAAGTAATATCATCACCAAGAATACATTACAACTACCCTAGAGCAGACGTAATTTTAGTACTACCACAACATCATCATCGTCCACGTGGTCATGAACCCTGCACAGCTCTTCTCTCTTCGACACCCCATCTAAAAAGACGCTCTACTCTTCAGTACTAGGCTTGCCTCTTCCTAGGCCAAAGCAAGTCGCCATGTTGTAGAAGATATCAATGCTGTTGTATGTCCCCTGGAAGAGCTCCTGGCATGGGCCCATGGCATAGACAGGCACATCCGTCAACGAATGCACACCTTGGTCGTTCTCGACAGGCAGCGTACCATTGAGCAAGATACCGTCCTCGCCATCCTCGGGGTTAGCGTAGTTGTCGTCGCTATCCTCTTCGATTTCGACGGCGGGCTCGCGGGGACCGCTCTTGCGGACGGACCAATTCTCCCGACGATCAGGATCTGCCATTAACCCCTGAAACAAACTGAATCTGGGCTCCCAAGTCGACGGGAAGTTAGAATCTGTGTACGTCAGATTGCCGGTGTTGATGTATTGGGATTCGCCAGATTGCTCGTACGTCCCCACAGCATTGCCTGTACGAAGTCAGTTAATGTCTCGCAACAGTTCGTACATGGGTATTACTTGCGTTTCTTGCGGTCGACGTTTTGAGCAGCTAGATAGTGGGTGTCAACGGAGCCCATGACATCGAAGCCATGGCCGTGGTCGGCAGTGACAAGGATCAGAGTCTCCTTGAGGCAGTTGGTGGAGTTGAGGTGGTCAATAGTGGCCTTCACCGTGTCGTCGAGTTCGAGAAGTTCACCGAGTGCGCGATCATAGTCGAGAACATGCATCATCTTGTCAATGCTGGCGGCTTCTGACATAAGGAACCATCCTTTGTCACCTGAGCGGGTTTCGAGGATGTCAATGGCCTTGAGGGTCATCTCTTTGAGACCCGGCTGATCAAGAGCGGGTGTCTCATCTCCAGTAGGGGAAAGCGATTGGTTGAGGTTGTCACGGTAGACATTGCGGTCGAGCCACTTGGCCATATTGGAGGTGGTGAAGATACCGAGAGCCTTTTCCTCATTGCTGGCAGAGAGCAGAGCAGTGCGGTTCTGGATGATCTGATAGTCCTGCGCGGCAAACTCATCATAGTAGTTCTTGTCCTGATACGTGACACCTCCAAGTTCAGACGGGTAGAACTGCTCGGCGCCACCACCGAAAATGACATCGATAGGAACGTGCGTCCAGTTGTTCACACCATTAAGGTAGGTATCGACGATAGCTCCATACTGGCTACGGAGACGGGTGTGTGATACCAAGGCAGCGGGAGTAGCATCCGCAATGTATGCTGTCGATACTATTCCTACGTGACCTCCGGTAAGACGATGAAAGATCTCAGCAATGCTCTCAACCTTCGGGTCATCAAAAGGATCCTTGCTACTGTCCTATACTATTTGTTAGTAAAATGATGATGTATACAAGTGCGCAACGAGATGGAAGACACGTACCGCATAAACGTTCAAACAGTTGACTGTTGACTTGTGACCAGTGTTGAGCGCAGCAGCAGAGTTAGCGGAGTCGGTGATGAAGCTATCGATCGAGTGGGTCATCTGGTGGCCAACGACAGGGAATTTGTCCATGGCCATGAGAGATTGGTATTTGCCGTTGACCTGCTTATGGCCTATCAAACGAGCAGCTGTGATCATGTTTGTGGTCATCCCGTCACCGATGAAGAGAACGATGTTCTTGGCCTTGCGCTCCTCAGCCAGGTCGCGAACGAGCCAAGTAGCTTCCGTCTTGCTTCCATTGTTATAGTTGAGGGTAGCAGTGTACTCGCCAGGTTCGTAAAGAGCGATGCGGCGGTAGGCTTTAGAGGCAACGTTGACGAGGGTTTTCCTTGCCGCGTCGCGTGCGAAGAGGTCTTCGTACCATGTGAAGTTCCACTTCTCCAAATTGGGTTCTTCGAGGTTGAAAAACTCTGTTACTAGCTTCGCTTCCTCGCCCTTCTTTCCAAGAGTGAAGGTAAACTGCTCATCCAGAGGTAGACCGATGAACTCGGATCCGTTCCTTGGCTGGTGAACTTCTAGACGGATGTCGAAGTACTGGCCCGCAAGAAAGTCGGCCCTGAGTTGTGTATCAGCAATTGAGCTCTCTGAGCTCGTTCAATCTGTATGCTTACTGGTCAGGAGGGAACACGCAACCGAGCGTTGGGCAAGCTCCCAGACGGCGGAATGTCTGCGCGGAGACAGACCTGACCAAAAGGGCTGCAGCCACGACAGCTGAGCATGTACACTTCATAACGAACGCGATTGAGAGATCAGTAGGTGGGCAAGACTCTCAAAAGTGCGATGAACCGACATTCTGGGAAGCTGTTGCTCCAACCTTTATAAGCTCACAGAGCTTCCCGGACCTGCATACATGCATCAAGACGAATCAGACTATGTCCCGCGTATCAAGCTACTAGCGTCCACATTTCATACCCGAGGCATGCCTTCCTCTGCAGTACAAGGTGCATTAAGTGCCTTTTCCCGTCCCTCGTGCGATAACACAGCGCTCTTACTGCTCGAGAGGAAGACTCCGGCTACCTGGGCCCAGTCCCCATTCCGCTGGCCTGGTCCGCGCCGCGAGCCACTGTCATCATCGAGAATCTTAAGGAGCTGCCTCATTGGGAAAGACATGCACGTTTCTGCCAGTTAATGGAAGGCTGGAGGATGAGGACTTGGCGTGGCTTGGTACATCTTGGCGTCACGTTCCGCACAGCTATGATCTGATTCGCTATTCAATGGTTCTCTCGTGGAAACCAAAATTGGTATCCCCGTAGATTTTCCCTTGGCGATGGGGTATTGCGAGCGGCTGGGATTTCGATGCCTACGGTGTGCTCCGGACGGGGCAATTCCATTCGCCATCGTAGTGAGGGCCAGCGACACAACACGACAAAGCTTTGCTAGCCTAGCTCGTCGACGGATATGGTGCCGACGAGCTCAAGGCAGAGAGCTTGATCGCAGTCCGAAAGACTCGCATCACGTGTCAGCAACTAGGCACCGTGCCCGGCTGGCATGATTCGGCTGCGGCCAATCTGTCAGACCAACAAAACTCCAACATGGAAATTATGCAACTCCTTGTCTGCGCGTTAGAGCGGAATTATGTCGGTCGCATTGACACCTCGCACTAGCAACGTAGTTTGTCGCGTGCTCACATCCACCGTCGTCGCCTGGAACCCTGAATCGAATGCAGCCCTATGCAAAGCACCAAAATCCCAGGAAGCGGCGACAGATCGCGAAATGCAGCGGGAACCAAGGATCTCTCCAGATCTTGTATCTGAAACGCCGATAGGCATGCCTTCGATTGGTGTTCGACGCCAGGTGTCCATCAGGGTAACGTCTTGATCGGCTCTAGTTGGTGTCGTTGGGTGGTCCGCCGACGTCACCACTCTGAACCCTTAGTCTAAGGTTTATCGATGATCAGGTACAAAGGTACGCCTAAGCGCAGAGCGCATGTACAATGCCTTCCTTCGAACGCGTCTTCTTATTGCAAACTCTACCTAGGCCGGCAGCTGCTCAATATAGATGTGTTAGTGTCAAAGTACGACTACCGATCCGCGCGTTTCAACACGCGACTCTTTTCCAAAGTAGAGCACCGCCAAAAAAGCCCGCACAGCCGAACAAATCCCAGACCCATACGAACATGTCCAAAAGAACATCATACGAACGCTCCGAACTCGGGCATACGACTCTCAAACGCGCGAAACGAGTAGATGATAATCTTCCCTACGATCAAGTTCAAGAAGCCCTCGGTGCACAAGAGGAAATCAAGGTCGTGACAAAGGTAGCGCATTGGTTTCGTCCAAAAGATCTCCGCATTCAAGATAACACCGCGCTGTATCATGCTTCCGAGCTTGCCCAAAGTGCGAGCAAGCCTCTCGTATGTTTTTACGTCAATTGCGCTGCAGACGAGTCGTGGCATGGGACTAGCCCCGCAAGGGTCGATTTCATGTGCGAGGGATTGCGCATCATGCAGAAAGAGCTCAAGCAGTTGAACATACCACTAGTCTTTCTAGAGTGCGAGGATAGGAAGAAGATTGTACAGACAGCAGTGGATTGGATGCAAAAGTGGGAGATTTCACACGTGTTTGGCAACTTGGAGTACGAGATTGATGAGATGCGGAGGGATCTGAAACTCTGCCAAACAGCTGGAGATGGTATTCAAGTCTCATTGTATCATGACCAGACCGTTGTCGAGCCTGGCACAATGCTTACAGGTGCTGGGACACCCATGAAAGTCTTTACACCCTTCTTCAAAGCGTGGCTCGAGAGGCTGAAAGACGAGCCGGAATTGCTTGACACTAACCCTCCACCTACCGCGAATCCCCCCTCTGCGAAGAAGGAGCTAAAAAGCCTCTTCGATACAGTCGTACCCCAGCCTGCAAAAGACAAGCAATTCGAGTCGGAAGAAGACAAAAAGAGGATACGGAAGCTGTGGCCTGTCGGTCACGATGCAGCAGCAAAACGAATGGATGCGTTCCTAAAGCAAATTGACCACTACGCCGCTACACGCTCAAATCCTGCCGCAAATAGCACGTCACGCATGTCTGCCTACTTTAGTGCGGGCATGTTCTCCGTACGCGAAGCACTGCAGAAAGTTGTAGATTACAATCGCGGCAGTACCGATTTTACCGAAGCCAAGGCATCCAATGGCGTCTACGGCTGGGTCCGCGAGGTTGTTTTCAGAGAACTCTACATACAGACAACCATGACTACGCCACACACCTCCATGAACCTCCCACAGAATCTCAAATTCGACGCAGTAGAGTGGGAAGACGACCAAGCAGGCTGGGAGAAATGGTATGAAGGCAAAACAGGCGAACCTTTTGTAGATGCGGGCATGCTGTTGGTTAGGATCCTATCACGTGATTCACTCACTAGCGTCGCCCTAGTAGTATATATACAGGGCTTCCTCCCTCTTACATAGAACAATCATCACATCTTTCTCTTCTTGTTCTACACATGCGCCAGCTTATTGCTGAGGCATACATGCACAATCGCTTACGTATGAACGTGTCTTCCTATCTCTACTGCAACCTCCTGCTCGACTACCGCCGCGGCGAACGCTACTTTGCCGAAACTCTGATTGACTGGGACCTTTCCAACAATACCCAAGGCTGGGAGCCTTCTTACACCGTCTTCAACCCCGTCTCTCAGGCTGAGAAGAACGATCCTGATGGTGATTATATCCGTAAATGGGTCCCAGAGCTCAAAGATGTCAAGGGAAAGGCGGTATTTGCTCCTTACGCGAGGTTGTCGAAGAGCGAGTTCGACAAGCTGGGTTATCCAAAACCGCATGTGGACTGGAAAGAGACGAAAGCTAGGGCGTTGGATAGGTTCAAACGAGGGCTGAGGAACGCGGATATCTAGGTGAGCGTGCGACTGTATATAGGGCGAGGTTCACACTACACCAATGTTGAAACCCATACGATGTGGATGCATGTAGCACTAGGCTCATGGCTACTACCTTGATGTAACCCTCTCCGGCAGTATCCGTGAAGTTGGCAATATGAATGATTGCTTTACAAGCAACAAAGGTGGCACAGCTCGCACCACTATCTTGATCTGGCAAAGTTTTCATGATCGAGAAAGAAATCGTCTCAAGTCTAGTGAGCCTTCCCCTACCAGCACACACGGGAATAAAACGACCAGATTATTGTGCTACTGCGGCTGACCACCAATAGAGCGGAGATGAACGATCGCACGATATATGCCCATCTGGAGCTACTTTTGTCTCCAGTCGGCAAAATCAATACCATGAGTAAATATAGAGTTGCGACAACGCGTAATGCTACTGATTAGTCTAAAGTACGCGCAACAATCTGCAGCCGACCCAAGTCACGATGTCGAATGCGCGCAACCCAGTGCTCGTGCACAATTTTCCCCAAAACCCCCACAAGCAGCACCTGACTCGTCTCTACATTTTTTTAATCTGCTTCCTCACCCTCCCAATTTCGATCTCTTGGGCCCGTAGATCTCTCACAACGGTGGCTAATTGGGGGATTGGGCCTTCGACTGCACCTACAAATGTCGATTGCGCAGTACGTAGTGCGGGCGGAACAAGGATACCAAACCATCTGAGAGGATCTGTAGGCTTTCCGACAGATCCGGTTTCTTCTTGGTTGTCCCTTGATCCTTGGGCGGGTTCGTCATCCAAATCGGAAGTAGGGCCTGTTTCTCCTTCTCTAGCTTCTGAACCTGTGGAAGGGAGGCCCGGTCCTTGGACTTCGTTCGCTTGTTCTGTTGATCTCATGTGGTTGTCAAGGCTCGCGTCCTGGCGAGTGGTAGCGGAAGATTTGATGGAAAAATGGGGTCGATCGTTCTTCTTGGTACATCCGTGTTCGGAGACATGGCTGTAGTCTGTCAACAGAGCACATAAGGTAGATAGACATTCCAGAGGATCGTTGTAGCACCCCTGGTAGCTATGAAATCTCGAAGGAAACTGTAGAACTCACACCTTGCGTACACTCTGCATACGTTCGTCATAGCAGTCCTGTCCGTACCGGATCGCAGAGGAGGAATTGTAAAAGTTTGCTTGAGCAAGCGACATGTAACCCTTGTTGGCATCAACACCACGTGCCATTAACCAAACGTAAACATTGCTTACCGAGGACAGCTCTGCGGAAAGCTGCTGCATAATGTCGTGATATTCATGCAGTGTATGCAAATAGTGTTCAAGTCGAGTATCCAAAACATCAAGAAGCGCATCTTTGTCCCGCCTCGCAGCCATCTCTGCTCGATCCATTGGTGGGTCCTGTGCATCCGCCATGATGTTGCAGTCTTGCATGGATGGGAGTGAAAAAAGAGTGATGTAAGAGGAGCAGTGCGATGGGAGGTCCACGGGTCGAGATCAGCCCAGAGCCAGGCTTAGGTTGGCGGGTGCTAAGACGCGGGAACCATACCGCATCGGCGTCTAGCAGCCGGGTAGCTCGCAGCCCGCATATCCGACACGACTGAGCCATTCCCAACTTTCCATCCACCCAACCACCCGCCATGTCGAAACCAAATCCATTCCTCAAGCTTTTCCGGCGATACTACTCACAGCCCGCATCGGCATTCTTCCGCACCGCCCACGCCCGTCCCCCACCCACGCGACCCCAATGTCCGCACACACGCATCCTCTTCCTCCGCTCACAAAGTCGCCGAGTGGGCGGCGGCCCCGGCCTGGACCCAAGTTTCGTCTCGATTCTCGACCGGCCGGCGAAGATGGCGCGAGTAGGAAAACAACATGGGCCCGGCCTAATCATCCTCGCGATAATCCCCGTCACAGCCTTCATACTAGGATGCTGGCAAGTGCAGCGTCTGGGCTGGAAAACCGAATTAGTCGCCCGCTTTGAAGATAGATTGACCTTCCCGCCTCTCGAACTCCCGCTGCGAATCGACCCGGCTGCAATTCAGGATTTTGACTATCGCAGGGTCTATGCGAGGGGCGTGTTGAGACATGATCAGGAAATGTTGATTGGGCCGCGGATTTTGGATGGCGAAGAGGGGTACACGGTTGTTACGCCGCTCGAACGGCGGGATGCGCGCGGCAATGTGCATAAGATATTGGCGTGTAGGGGGTGGATCAAGAAGGACGCTGCGCCGCAGTGGTTTCGCAAGAAGAATGGGGCGTTGCCTGAGGGTGAGGTTACGATTGAGGGCTTGTTGAGGATACCGCCCAAGGGCAACATGTTTACGCCGAAAAACGAGCCGGAAAAGGGAAAGTGGTTCTTTCCCAGTGTCGAGGAGATGGCCGAGTATAGCGGGAGTCAGGCTGTGTGGGTGGAGGAGACGATGAGTAAGTAATCTATCTTTCTTCGATGATGTGATTGGGGTATCTAACTATGACACAGCGCCTGATTTGCTCACAAATTATGAACGTGAACCCAAGGGCGTACCGATTGGTAGGGCGCCCACCGTGAACCTACGAAACAACCACACGCAGTACATCTTCACATGGTACGGTTCGCCGCCTCGCTCTTTTCCTGCAAGCAATCATCTAACTCCAAGTAGGTACGCGCTCAGTTTCGCGACCTCAGTCATGTTTTGGATGGTCGTCAAGAAGCCCATGTCGGGCACCCAACGGAGAGTACGCCACAGCGTTGATTGGTCGTGAGACATTACCGTGCCTTTTCAGTCAGCATTCAATCGTTTCCGTTTATATCTCTTCAACTTGGCCGGACGCTCCATACGCAGCTGCTGAAGTAACTCCCTAGGAAGCATCCTTTGCGCCAGAGAAAACGAGGTACAGGTACCGGTGGTCTTGCGAGTCCTGCTTGAAAGTCAGTGTACCGAACGTATACGTCTGCTATAAGTCTGCACGCCATGTACGCCAAGCAGAGTCGAGTAGAGCAGCATACCTCTTCATAAGCGCGATGACATCGCTTTCTTCAATCGTCGTTCGTCCACCGTGCTGTGCATATGCTGCGAGATCTATGCTAATCTGCTCGAAGAAGTCGTTGGTCGTGCGTACGAGTGCGTCGAGTGTTTCCGTATTGAGTTGGGTCTTGCCTCCCTGCGACTTCAAGAAGCTCAAAGTGAGCTTCTTGACAGGCGCGGCTGGAAACGAGGGGAAGCCGATACCGTGTTCGGATACCATGTATTCTTTCGGTTTGCGAACACTCTTCATCTGGGCTACATGTGTTTGCTTGGGCGACTTGGCCTGCAGGCTTCGATCAATTGCAGATTCTTCTTCTCGATAGGCGACTAGTTCGGCGTCGTTGTCTGCAGGGGGATCTGATGCCCAACCTAACATGCCGGCGGTTACTGTTTGGTCTTTGCCGTCGAAAGCAGCAGCTATTCCGTCCTTGTCGTCGCTGTTGAGTGAGTCGTAATCATCGGACTGGTGCAGAAGCTCGTCATCCGGGTCTTGTTGGTCTTCTTCCCGCTCGTCTTGGAATGCTTGTACGTCTTCTTGGGCTGGCACACGCATGCGCTCCGGTATCATAAAGCGGAAGGTAGGCTCTTCTAAATCGTCCTCTGCCTCTCCAAATACGCCCAAATCCTCCTCACTCGGCCTTGCGTCTCTTCGCCCGGTCAGTGCTTGTACTGTGGTTTCGTCTCCATCTAGAGCTTCGTCGATTGCAGGATCAAAGAGGCCATCTGCGCGCGTGTTGATGAAGGTGCCATCGACCTCGTACTCCTCCTGGACCGCCCCGAGCTCGCTTAGGTCGCCGAATCGCTCACTCTGCCTTCCCGTGAACATGAAGCGTGGATCCTCACTGATGGCTCGCCGTCCAAACTCGAGTGATTGTACAGTCCCGCCATCGACGTCGTCTGGTAGGTCTGGTAGGAGAGACTGCCGTGGTGGGGCACTGTGGAAACTATCGTCGTCGTCGTACATGTTCTCCAGGGGCATTGAAAGACGGGGCGCAGGCATGGCAGGGCCGTCTTCGACGTCTGGAAGGTCGAGGGCGGAATGGCGCGTTCGCCGAGGTAGGGCTTGTGGGGAGGGCTCGGCCGGGCGCGGTTCACGAGCGAGGGCTGCGTGGACAGTTAGCTAGTTGAGAAATGGCGGCTGCAAGAGCCGTACCTCTGCTAAGATGGCGCAGTATGTCCCGCGGTGTCTCCCTCTGTACGCGGCCGCTTCGTCTCCGGGTGTTTCCTGGCGTCCTTGCCGCATTGGCTCGCTCTCTCAGGGCTCGTATCGCGTGGGGAGTAGTGGGTGCAATCCTGCGCGAAGAAAGAGGGCGAGCTGCGGGTCCGCCCCGCGGTGTTGCGCCCGATGCTGGTGTGCGAAGAGCTGGCGTCCGTCTGCTTGCTGGAGTAGGGCCCACACTAGTGGCCTGGTGGAAGGGTGTCGTGGGCTCCATGGACGCGTCGTTGTCGGGTGTCGGCTGCAAGTCGCGCCGCGGGGGAAGGCGCTGCGTTTTGCGCGCAGACTCGGCCATGGCAAGAGAGGCATGCGAGAGGCGAGGTGGGTGCCCAGGCGGGTGTTGATGGGCGTCAGGGAAACGCGTCGCTTACCAAGGTAGCGCGACTTCCCCGGCGTGCATCTGCGCTAGCCGCTTATCGATAGCAGCTGGAGCTCGATGCGCTGCAACTTTTTCCGTCGCGAACTCAGGTGTCGCGCCGTCACACAAAACACTAGTCTCACCATGTCCGACTCGGAATCAGAGGGAGGCGTGCCCCTGATGGAAGCCCAGTTCGATCTTGACGCGTCGTCGAAGAAAAGGAAACGGCAAGCCGAGCCCGAAGCCAGCAAGGACGGCAAAAAAGCAGCCAAGAAGGCCAAACGCAAAGAGAAGAAGAAGCAGAAAGCAAAGGCGATTTCTGAAGACGATCTGGACCAAGGGCTGGGAGTCAATCACGCTTTTGAGCGCATGGATGGTCAGCTTGTTGCCGACTATGTCAACGCACGAACACGGCTTTACGGGAAGGATTTGAGCAGTGTCGAGCTCGAGGACTTGTGGATTTCTGGTCAGTGTTTGAGCGCCCGAGACATGTCGTGAAAGGCTGACGTCAAGCAGCGCGGACGGTGCAGGACAGCAGCAGCTGGACGGAGCCGCGAACTACAGACAAGCTGCCTGCCTTTCTCAAGAAGCAGGCAGGGACGCTGGAGGCGACGCCATGCAAGCCGCCCGGCGCTCCCCACACGCTTGTAGTGACGGGCTCTGGGATGCGAGCGGCAGACGTCTGCCGATGTCTCAAGTCTGGGCTACCTACCCAGGGAGTCGAGAAGCCCAGCGTGGCCAAGCTGTTTGCAAAGCACCTGAAGCTCGCAGACCAGGTCGCGCATTTGAGCAAGAGCAGAATCGACTACGGGGTTGGGACACCGGATCGGTTGATGGCGCTCTTGCAAGAGGGAGCCTTGTCGACGGCCAACTTGAAACGAGTCGTGGTGGACGTGTCGTACATTGACGGGAAGAAGCGCGGCATTCTCGACATGAGAGAGTTGCACGAGGCCGTGGTCAGGCTGGTGGTGTGCAAGCAGCTGGTGGGCGAGGACAGGCAAGGCGGCGAGGGACTGTTTGTGTGGTATTGAAGCATGTAGGCGTAGCACGAGCCCGTAGCTAGCTAGCACGGCGGATGGCAGGCGTGAGCAGCGTGTTGCACAAGGGTTTCAAGAGGGTACGCGCTCGTCGAGCTTGGTCGCTCCAGCTCCAGCTCGCTTCGTGACCCGCCGCCTGCCAAGCGATAAAACGCCCCCCTACGCTGCAGATAGCTCCCGCGCCTTCACAGAAGCTACCTGCTACCCGCATCGTGCTGCGCAGTCTCGCCGGTGCGTCCTCTACCTCCCACGCGCCGCCTCGCTGCATCTGCATCGTGCCCTGCCCTGCCCTGCCCTGCCTGCCTGCCTGCCTGCCGCCCTGCCTGCCCTGCCCTGCCCTGCGCCCGACTCGATCCGCTCCACCCTCGCCGCCCCGTTGCTCCGCCGAACCGGGTCCGCCAAAGCCACGCTCCCCGGGCGACACCTCGCGCACCATGGCTGCTCCCGCGACGCAATCGCTCAAGTGCGTCGTGACCGGCGACGGCGCTGTAGGCAAGGTGAGCCTCGCCGCCCCCGCGACAGCCGCGCAGCCTGCTAACCGCGCAGACATGTCTCCTCATCTCGTACACGACCAACGCCTTCCCGGGCGAGTACATCCCCACCGTGTACGCCCGCCCCTCGCTGCACCACGCGTGAGCTAACTCGCCCAGCTTCGACAACTACTCGGCAAATGTCATGGTCGACGGCAAGCCCATAAGCCTGGGGCTGTGGGACACGGCCGGCCAGGAGGACTACGACCGACTGCGCCCGCTCTCGTACCCCCAGACGGACGTGTTCCTCATCTGCTTCTCCATCGTCAGCCCCCCGTCGTTTGACAACGTCAAGGCAAAGGTACCAAGCCGCCCGCCACGCCGCGTGCGCACCCGCTAACCCCCTGCCAGTGGTACCCTGAGATAGATCACCACGCGCCCGGCGTTCCCATTATCCTCGTCGGCACCAAGCTCGATCTGAGGGACGATGAGGCGACCAAGGAGTCGTTGAGGCAGAAGAAGATGGCGCCCATCCAGTACGAGCAGGCCGTCATGGTCGCAAAGGAGATCAAGGCGCAGAAGTACCTCGAGTGCTCCGCCCTCACACAGCGCAACCTGAAGAGTGTCTTTGACGAAGCTATTCGGTACGTCCCCATGTGCTCCCTGCATGACTGTCCTAACCTGCCCCAGCGCCGTCCTCAGCCCCCGTCCCCAGCAGTCGGCGACCAAGAACAAGAAGAAGTGCACCATCCTATAAGCCGATACCAGGGCCCAGGGGCCACGGCTTTGGCCTGACTGGGAAAAGACCAACAACTTGGATATGCCACTCACTCCCGACACTGTACACGGTCGGCATCATTGGGAAGCCCAAGCGGAACGGCGGGACCAAGCAGAAGGGGCACATGCTGTGCAGCACCTTCTGGCTTGATGTTTGGATATAGAGCGAGTCTAGCATTGGCTTATTGCAGCATTACCCTTCTTCGGCGTGGAGGTTTCATGGGCTTGGCATTACCGATAGAACTGTTTATTGCATCTTTTCCCTTTGCACATCTCCAACGCCGTGTGAATAAGCCACTGAGTGAAGCGGGCGCTGACGGCCGCCGGCCATGCTCGTGCGTCGTCTGCCCTCGGTACCACGCGCCGAGCAGGTTCCCAGGCTAATCCCCGCGGTAGTGCAGACATGGAGCCACCACCACCACCCACCAACATGTTCCACCAAGGCAGCCTACAGAGCGGAATCGCGCTTGCCATTCAGGAGCAGAAACTCGTTGCCTGCTTCGTTCGAGGTACGTGACGGTGCACTATCGGAATCTGGGTAGCATCGTGGCTGACTAGCTGCGTAGACGACGGCGCCACGAGCCACGAGTGGGAAGGCGAGTGGCTGAAGAGCGGATGGGTACGTTGGGACTCGGCCAGGTTTTCACAACACGCGCTGATGATGCATGTCTAGCTGTCGACTCTGCTCCACCAAAAAGCGGTCGTCCTGCGACTCGAAGCGGGCTCGACCGAAGCCGGTTTTCTGGCTGCCTTCTCCGATGTCTCGAGCGTGCCCACTTTCGTCGTCATCCAGAACGGCCAACTCCAAGTTCAACTCAAGAGCGATGCCACGAGAGATGACTTTATCAACTCAATCCGACGCGTCCTGGGAGCGAATCCCATCCCAGTCTCCAACGCAGCACCAACCTCTCCCCCACACGCAAGCACACCAGAACCTACGAATAGTATAGCGAATGCTGCAGCCGAAGACGACCTGTATGGCCTCCCCGAAACCTCACTGCCCACCCTCACGTCCAACACACCAGGCAAGCAAAAAGCCACAGGCTCCCAGCACCCCACTCTCCCATCCACATCCGCCACCAAAGCCCAACAAGAAGCCCGCGACGCCCTGCGAAAGAAGAAACGAGAAGATGCCGAAGAGTTAGCCCGTATAAAAGCACGAATAGAAGCCGACAAAGCAGCGCGCAAAGTAGATGCCGAATTGCGCAAAGCAGAACGCGAGAAGGAGAGGAACAAGGGCGCACTACGAGCCCCCGACACATCACAGCCAGTGCCAACGTCCTCGCGAGGCACCAACTCCAAAACCGTCGCTCTCAATGTTCGTTTGTTCGATGGCCGCACCATTCGCTCTACATTCCCTCGCTCCGCCACCCTGCAGACTGACGTGCGGTCCTGGGTTGACACTGAGTTTGGGAAATTGACCCAGGATGACGAGAACATCAACAACAAACAACTGCCTCCTTACTTTTTCCGACATATACTCGCTCCATCGCCCAGTCGTGAGCTCTCTGCCGGCGACGAGGCCGTCGAGTTGGGCGATATTGATCTAGCGCCCAGTGCGACGTTGGTACTGGTGCCAGTAAAGGGTTACTCGGATGCGTATTCCGGGGCCACTGGAGGAGGTATAGCAGGAGCCGCGACGGGCATCGTTGGCGGGGCCTTTGGGCTTCTCACTTCTACTGTTGGCTACGTGGGGAGTACCATCAGCTCCGTTATAGGCTACGGGGCGCAACACGAGCAAGGTGGTGATGGTAGTAGCAGTAACAACCATGGCGGTGGTGGTCGTACCATGGGCAGCAGACCTACCCGGGATCCCAGTCACGATCCTGTGCTGGATCAGGCAACTTCGGGTGGGATGAGGGTAAGAACGCTGGCAGACCAGCGGGCAAGAGATGTACCTCAACAGTTCTATAACGGGAATCAGTTGAGTACTGAACCTAGGCCTGAGGACAACGATAAGCGAGATTGAGGTTGTGGTCTTATTCTCAAGGACATGATGCAAATAAGGTAGATGACCCTAACTCCATCGCCGAGCAGCCAAAAGACGTCTTCCTCGTGCTGACGTGACAAGAGGAGGAGTTCGTGGTGCGTAGGATGGCTGAAAAACAAACGCTTTTGTGTCCTTTCCATCCGGGATTTGCCATCATCCCCTCATCTTCGCTACACGATTAGAGCTGCCATTCGCCATTCAAACAAAAGCCTTTTCTTCATCCACAGACTCCATCAGCCCCGCCGCCTTCAACAGTTCACTATCCACCATGGTCCCTGCAAATGGTACCTGGGGACCCTCAACCTGCGGCTTCCAATCCTCGCGCTTCTCGACCACTTCACCCGCGGCCAGTCCGCCGTGACTCAGCGCCTTGATCTCTAAAGACTCAATCTTCGCCTCCATGCTCTTCACCTTAACTTCCAACTTGACGCGACCCTTGTCTAGCTCTGCAGCATCAGTAGGGCAGGCAGACAAGGCAACTTGTAACTCGGCGAGCCGCTCGCGAGCTTCATCTAGCTCAGCGTGCTCAGACGTCGTCTGCGGCAAGAGATTTTGCAAGTAGAGCCCAGCGTCATTCTCGTGGTCGGAAGATAGTGCAAGAGGATTTTCGGGGCTGGGCTTGGGGGCTTCGGTAAAGATTTGGAGGCCAGGTGGGTTGCGATAGTGGACCGGGTCTTGCGCGACGTCTTGGAAGAAAGAGAGAATGGCATGCTGGGTGGGAGGGTAGGTAAAGATGCATTCACCAACCGAATTGTCGCCGCCCGCGAAGGTAGGGCAGATGACAGCTTGACCCGAGGACCATTCTGTGCTTTCTTCTCCACTAGTAGAGGTTGATGTTGCGGTTGGAGTGGAAGCCCCGGCCGAAGAGGTGACGCTGAGAGCGAGGCTGTGGAAAGCCTTCGTTAGAGCCGAGACTGGGCCTGTAGGAATCGAAGCGTGCCAAGACATGTGCTTGATTGATTGCATGGTTGATGGTGTGTCTGCAGAACAAGGCCCGTTGACTTGTCGATTGTAGTCAGTCGGTAAGTCGACACAGTGCTGGGGGTTGCATGTCAGATCGCTGAATCGCCACTGACGTGTGCGCTGATGCATGAAAGCGCGAATCTGTTCATCTTTGATTTGGGAGTCGTCGATCAAGGAGTGAATGAACGCCATGGCCGTGATACGGGTACCATACTTGCCGACTATAACAATACGTTAGTGTAAACTCCTCAGGTGAAAGCAGGGCCAGGAGACGTACAGTCGTGCGTGAGCAGGTTCAAGATACTCTCCGTTCCGTCTTCAATAGCGATGACGTAGACTTCTGCGTCAGCTGCAACACGATCGGGGTTGCAGATGACTTCGTCAAAGACAGTCTTGACATGTTTCTTGGCATTTTCATGACCTGGAACACGGTTCTCGTTGTCACGGATGCGGACCATGTCGTGGGCGATTGACTTGCGTGGCATGGCGGACCAACTGCGTAGAGTCATGGCCTGGTCGTACTTGTGCGAGTACAGCAGCTGGCCCGCGTTCAAGACAATCAAAGCAGGAGTGGTAGTCTTGTCTTGGAGAACATGACCATCTTTGAAAATCTTCGCGTCCCTTTCAGCGGTGTTGTCAGTGTCCGAGCACTTGACCATCTCCTTGGCAAAGTTGACGACTGAGCCACCGTTGATGCCGAGTTCCCGCTGCAACTGTCTATACGCCAGGATGCCTAGATCTTGCATGGTGTCGTTTACCAGTACAATCAATCGCTTTCGCGTCTTGAGGAGGTCAGGCGGTGGAGCAAGGATAGGTACATGTGGACCATTGGGCTTGGTCATGGCGAAGTCGGGAAGGTGGATGCACTCGAGGCCGAGGTAGGACAGGCGCTTCTCTGCTTCCTTGCGCTGGCAGGCTGTGATGTGTTAGCTGCGAGTGTTTCAATGGAAATTGGAATGTACTTTGCATGGCCTCGCGGCGCACCTCGTTGACGCGCTCATTGTTGGTGGCGTGGTAGACATAGGGCTTCTCGGGGGCGTCGATCATACGGACATGACCTGAGAGGTTGATGAAGAAGCCAAGTTGGTTGAGGTCGGCTGGAAATGATGGATCCGGCTCCAGAGTGTCTTCTATGCGGCGGAACATGCTGACGCAGATGCTTGAGGGCGTCTATGGACCGTAGACAGTGGCGAAGTGAGTTGCTAGAAAACGGCAGCCAGAGCTATTGCGGGAGTAGGGATTGTATGTGTAATGGCTACGGAAGTCGGCTTTTATCACTGGCGCGGTGGGTAGCCGCTGCCGTCGTTTGTAGCGCGTGGTGAGAGCAAACCGATTAGGAAAGGGTGTCTCGCACGGTGAGAGAGCGAGGGGAGGGCAAAGTAGACAGTGAGATGGGTCAACCACGAAGATTTCGCACGCAATGTCTCACAGTGTGCGCCCGAAGAGCGGCCATGTGCAAGGCTACATGTGTAGCCAAAAGTAGGTGGGATTGTACATGGAACCAGTCGGGTTCTCGTAGAAGCACAGCTACCAACTTGCCTTCTTCACGCCCGGCAGGTTCCCCGCGAGAGCGTTTACGCGAAATTGATACTGTAGCATCGTCAGCCCTGCGTCGCGCGAAGAGAAGGCCATGGCATACTCGGCCCATTCTGAAGTCGCTGAAGACACCACGGCCCTTGCCGCCCATTATACACCTGTTCTTGATCTGGGTGTAGCGTGTGTAGCAGTGCATCTGCGAGAGCTGGAGCTGAGCCTGCGCGCGGACTCGTTGCGGAAGCGTGGTATTGCGGATCAGGTATCGCAGAGCTTGTCTGTGTCGTCGTCAGTCGTTGCGCCATGGGAGCGTTAGGTGCAGAGGCGCGTGCCGTTCTGGCTCATTCTCCGAGTACACCTTCCGCTTGGTGTGGTCGCGGATATTGCGAATCTTTGCGAAACATCCAATGTCCAGCTTGGCCGCGCGGAATTGAGACATGGTGGCGGTGGGCGGAATGGGTTGGATGTCTGCGCGCACTCGACCAGGTGTTCTGCCGCCCGATGCCCGCTCCCCACCAATCAGCGCAATCCAGCCTCTGACGCTTTCCCTTGCACTATATACTCCAACGCCGCCGAACCGTTCGAGCTCACAGCACTGTTCCTGAACAGTACATGTTGGCAACCTAGTCTGCAGCGCTACCCAACGTCCAGCTGGCATGTTTACCGCACATGATGTGAAGGACATCTTCGCCCTCTTCCCTCCGCAAGACACTTCCGATTTTGTTCCGCGGCTTGCGCTATCCTCCAGCGGCCATGCTTTCGTTACGCTCCAGTTTGTCCAGGCTCGTTTCAGAAGCCGCGTGACCAAAGGTGAGCGTTCGTAATCTCTCTTGGCTACATTTGCTGAAGCATGCACCAGAGACACAGCGGATACCGGTTTCCACATTGGCCAACCACCTCGACATAGGTCGATTACTTGTCCATCAACTAGTCCACAGCCACCCCAAGCTATGTTTGTTCAGCGCGGACGAGGAAAGCATTATTCCCATAGACGAGCGAGACACGATAGTCACTCGCCTATCATCTGAGGGACTGGCATCCAAGGCCGAATTCATTGCCCAGCACCGTGTCTCTTCCAAGAGTCTTGACTTCCTCCTGTCCAGTCAAGATTATAATGTCCTGGAAACTAACGGCTACATCTACACTAAGGCCTATGCTCACAAGATCGCGGACATAGTAAAGAGTATGATTCAAAGGACGGTCGATGATGTCCGGTAAGTGCAGGACTTGCCTTAGATGCATCGCATGCTCACTCTGTACAGGACTCTCAATATCAAACCAGCTGATTTGCCTGACAATCCCCCAACATGGTTCATTCTGCATACTCTCGAGCGACTCTTGCAGTCTGAAAATCTTACTTCCAAGGTCAACATCCAGGAAACTGACGTTAGCGTTTTGTGCACACCCAAGCGATATCTAGAATCCGAACGCGATACCACAGTCTACGATCTGCAGTCCGGCGCTCTTGCCTATCTCGACGTGCAAAAATTCGCCTCCGACTTCATCGAACTTTTCCCGTCTTCCCAAGTCGCATTGTCTTACTTCCAGCAACTCTCAGGCATTGAGGTAATAGACTCTTTCGCTGTATCACTGATCTGGATCTCCAGGTTAGAGCAAGATTGCGTACGCATCCTTGAACAAGAAGGTTGTACCCTTGATGTCACCGAAGTGATTGGCTCCCGTCTTCCACCAACTATAAGGGAGCAGGTGGCCGGCCGAGCCAAGAACTCCATTGTCGCTCACTTCTCCGAGACCACTGGAGGGCTGAAGATAGTGCGCGTCGGCACTCTGATACTCACTGAAAGGCGCCGAGACGGAGCACTCGACGAGCTCGCTGGCTACGCAAAAGAAGCTGCAAAGGCACAATGGCAAAGTCTACACGACGATCCAACCCTAGTGGAAGACGTGAAATTCACTCGAGACAAGATCAAAGACATGATTCCTCCCACAGGCCTTGTTCAGCGCCTTCTCCTCCAACAAAAACCAGTTGAGAAGTTATTAGAAGAGCGCTTCTGGTTCCACGTGTCCTCGTTCGAAACACTGAATGAAGAGGAGTTTGCCATGTACTGGACAGATCGCATGCTCACCCGATATCGGATATACAGCGCCGGCTTAGTTTCAGTCATGGACCAGAAAGTGCACAGCCAGCTTGCTCAGGTCTTTGCAACTTACGCACACAAGGACCTTATACCCGATACTATTGCCAAAGCACGAGCGCAGGGTCTAGTCCTCAGCCGCAAAACAAGAAAGAATGTTACCAAGCTCTCGAGTGTGCTGGAGTCCACGACGCCTCTGGATAATACATCACTATCTTCAGCTTTGGAGAAATTCAACAAAAAACAAGGTATCAACCATCCATCTACAGATTCGCTGGCTGCTGCCAAGCAATCGATGCTCGACGACATGCTTCGCCGAATCAAGAAACAAAAAGCTTCCGACGGCCCCGTACTCTTCTTAACGCTAGTGATCTTGCTCTTCGCAAAGCAGTACGATGGTGTCGTATATGCAACGGGAAAGTTCACACCAAAGCTGTTGAAGTTATTGAAAGGCAAGCTGGAGTATGAGCAGTATGAGCAGCTTGAGAGATGGAAGGAAGCTGCCAAGGCCAATACCTTGAGCGCGGAGGATAGGGAGGGTATGGCCAGGATGGCAGCGACGTGAGATCATTGCTTTCAATGCCTACGACAACTCCAAGATCCCGCTTGTGATCGAATCCGGTACTTTCATTTGGTGGTTACACGCAAATGCTTGTCATGGTCTTTGCGACAGGTTGGCTTGTTCATCTATACCTCAGATAACACTCGGAAGATGGTATACTGGTAGAAACCCACGCTTACCTAGCATTAGAACAATGTTTGAGTCTTTCACGCGGCATCTATAGCCTCACTTCGTCCGAACCCTCTTTTCAACTGCGCACACTGTTTGCACCAAGCGGATGGTGGTACTACTCCCATTTGCGGCTGCGATTTTATCGAACGGCACATCTGATGTTGTTCTTCTCTTGTGCTTGCTTCTTCACTAATCCACAGGTTATCATTCGTCATGATTGAGCACTAAGTAGCGAGTATTGAACAACCACCGGTAGATGGATAATAGTCACAAATCATGTACGACTTGATGCACGTCGTGAAGTTGCCATGAGAAGTCGTACCTTAGCTTTCATGCGCAAGACTACCTGCCTTGCATGTCCCAAAAGCACCGCCTAATGCAACACCCAGCATCTGTGTGTGTGTCTCTCTCTCTTTGTTTACCTATCCTCGCTTCCCTATACATCCTTCATGAGTTCCTCGAGCTCATCATCATCGTCCCAGTTCCCTCCCCTCCTGTTGACAACAATCTTCTGCTCTTCCTTCTCCTGTTGCTCTGCTACAGCCCCCAGTATCTCTTTGAGCTGATCTTCTGTAACCTTCTGTCGTAATTGGCCAGTCCGCGCAAGCATTATAAGTCTGTTCTCGATGTCGGTTGCGCGCGATTCCTTGACAAGGCGGATACGGCCGAGACGGTCGGCTGCTTCGGGGAGAAGGATTTGTGAGAGAATGGAGGAACGCTGGTCGGCTGATGGGAAGGGTTAGCCCGTGGTTGCTAATGGACGGCGGGGTTTGGACGAGTGGGCGAAGGGGGAGTGTGTGGTCAAGTGATGCATGTCTGCGCCAGGAGAGATTCTGAAAACGTACCCTCTTGCTGCCTGTAACTCTGCCTTAGTAAGAAACCTTGATCTTCGTGTATAATTGTATTTACTTTCGCGAATCTTGCTCGGCGCCTTCGCCTCCTTGTCCTCCGCTTCCCCCGCCCTGTTGTTGTAACTGCTGCAGGCGCGCGCGTCTTATCTGCTCGAGATCTTCGTCGGACATTTCGGTATTATGTAGAGTATCTGAGGGCTCGACGCGAAAGGTTGTTAGAGTAACGGCCTCTGCGGCGCAAGTACTGGTCGAGCAAAAGTGTGTTTACGCGGGGAAGTTCGCGGGTTGCTAGGGCACGGTCCCAATCGCACACCCCCCACTCCCTAGGTAGCTTGTCAGACACCTCAACCAAGAGGAGAATGCGATCTTGACTAAGACTGGGGCCTGGTCTTAGTTTGAGCTGGTCATTGAAGGCGCGCTCTGGTATGCGGGATGATTGAGATAGCTTTGAGGTGCTTCGCTGGAGTGTTGCCCGGCTGGTGTGTCGCCGACGCCCCAAAGATGCTCAGGGTGACGATAAAGCTGCAGCCGTCATCTCACGATGCTTTCTTTACATGTCGATCTTGGATATACTTACGGATGCTCTAATTGCTGTACTCCAGGGTGTGATTAGGAAGACTGAGAGGTGGAACTGACGAAGCTGGCTCAATGTATCGCTGCATTACGAAATTGACGACTGAGATGGACACGCAGTTGGCGTCATCGGCCATCGCGTAGGCCATAGTTTTAGTACCAGCTGAAAAAGCAGCTCTACATAGCTAGGCTGTGGACAAAGGGCGGAATGATAGAGACGATTTGTCGCTCACGACTTGTGTTTTACGAAGAACGTGTTTAGAATGACAAACTCAAGTCACGACTGATAGCGTGCGGCTATTCTAGTATGCTTTCAAGTATTCCACTTCGATTAGCCCTCTCGTCTAATCTGATTTCGCAACATGAAGCCCCCGCGTGTTGCATTCCACATTACTAGGCGGGTATTGACGCTTCTGCGACACCTTCAGCCCGCGGCAAACTTGCTACTACTCCTTAACTTCTCCCCAAACTTCCATAGCATGAACGGCGCTGGGACACCCAAAGCCAAGGCAATAAAGCCCAGCACGCTATTTCCCCATCCAAAATCCAACTCGTCATACATGGCCGGTGCAAACAACGGAAATCCAAACCCAGCCAACGACCTGAGCACCGTCGCCGCCGCGATAGCACTCGCAGCGTACCGTGTATAGCTGTCAACAAGATAAGTCTGTATACACTGAAACCCCACAATAACACCCGCGCAAAATATCGCAGCACCGATATTAGGCATGATCCAATGTACCTGCGCTTGTGCACTCCAACCATACCAAAAAAGGCCGATTGGAACGAGAAGAGACGCAGGGATCATGATTGGAATGCGAAATTCTGGTTTACCGATGCCGTTGTTGCGTTTCTTTAGGCGGCGGTAGAGGGCGTCATTGAGGGGTGCGGTGATCTGTGTGCCGAGGAAGAAGCCCATGCCCATGGAGATGAAGTTCAAAGAACCAATCCCTATAGTCATACCATAGCGCGTGACCCATAAGCTGGGGAAGGTCGAGAGCATCAGATACATGAGGCCATATAGGTAGGCCATGTAGCAAGCTAGAACTTGCACAATGGGCTGGGTGAGGAGCAGCTTGAACGGCCTTCTCATGGCGATTTTAATAGTTGTTGCAAGCGTTCGATCAGGATTATCGAACTCAGTGTGTAGTTCTTCGTTGCTTGTCTCTTTACGCAGTTTGTTTCGCTTCCACTCAAGGAGCTTTGGTGCGTATGTTTCTTGCAGAAGGAAGAACCCGAGACATTGCACTATTGCTGTGAAGATCGTGGTGGCGTAGAAACACCATCTCCAAGTCGTGTTTTGAGAGATGAAGCCACCGGCAATAGGCCCGATAGCCGGGCCCAGTAATGGAGCCAGTGAATAGATTGCTATGGCTCGGCCACGCTGCTCGGGAAGGAAACAATCGCTAAGAACACCCTAGTAAGTCAATTAGCGTTTTATCTTCCAACGGCATTTTTCAGGAAGAGAGTACATACACCACCAATAGCTAACGGTGCAGATCCGCCTAAACCACTGAAGAATCGGAATGCCATGAGCTGGCCAGATGTCTGAGCAAATCCACATCCCAAATTCCAAGCCAAGTAGAACAAGTTTGACAGCTGCAAGACGATGACTCGTCCATAGATCTCCGATAGTGGGCCTAGGAACAGCGGTCCAATTGCATACGCCAGAACGAAGATGGATAAGGTAAGCTGGGCTTCGACTTCATTTGTGATGCCGAATTCAGCACTGATGCTGCTCAGAGCTGGCGAGATCATGGACGAGGATATTGGCGAGACGAGGGTAAAAGAAGAGACAATGATAGTTGCTGCCCATTTCCGCTTCATGGACCCTACCAGCTGTTAGACCAAAACTTATCTGTGCTTAGTTGGGGAGACCAAACCTACAGTTCTTTGGATTATGTGGGTCGAACTCTGAATCCCATGTGACCTTATGTATGTTAGATGTTACAGTAGCAGTCAATGTCTGTCAGGTAGAATATACCAAATTTGGGTCTTTGACGGACCGCGTAGACTTTTGCTTTTCTAAACGTGATAGTGCCACCACATCACGCTCGTATGGAATACCACCCCGTATCTCCTCGTAAGTCGTATATTCCTCTTGAGCGGTATCATCTTTTACTTCTTTCCCACCTTTGTCATCGCCGCTGTCGCCGCCGCCGTCGTTGTCACTGGACGAGTTCTCGTCTCGCCTTTCAGTCTCAGTCTTGTGCAATGAACTGGCGTCCTCGTCGACATGGGTTCCCTCGCCATCTTCATGGTGATAAACCGAATGATCGTCTGGGAATTGACTGGACAAGATACGATGTAATGGTGCGTTGTCGAGTCGCCGTTGTCGGGATACTGATCGGCACGTGGATGATCTTTGAGCTCGTGGTCGTCTTGTGCTTTCCATGGTGACGTGAGACTGAGAAGAGGCGTGCACAAAGACTGGGTATGCTGTCAAATACGTGTAGCAGACTATGATTACTAGTGTAGGGCGTGAACTTCCATGTATATAAATATAACTCGTCTGTGTTTTTCAACGATAGAGAAGGTTGTGGTGAGGGAAACAGTGTCGCTATGCCGGCGTTCAAGCTTGGAAAGTGAATAGACACAGAACTTGCATGCGGCGAACTTCGCGATTTTGATGGAGTCTGCACGCTCGGTTTTAAGCACGTGTAGGACATATCTCCGTGGATCGCGTGCCCCACAACGTTGGTCCTTTGATTCAGATACTGTCGGTGCATCGGTAGACATTATTTCCCGAGCGCAGACTGAAAAGGAGTGGATACGGTTAGTCGTGCAGGGTTATCTGGGTGTGGCGTAGAAGCTTGGTAATATTGTAGAGGCCGGTGGTATGGGGTGACGTCAGGGGTTGCTGATTTCCGGCGCTACTGTCGCGTCGTGTAGTGTAGATATATATCCGATGTGGTAACTCCGACCTCGAGCCGAGACGAAGGAAAGTACACAAAAGTATGTACTGAGCTGTTGGTAAACAAAGCATCATCGTGGTAAATAGATAGTAGTAAACCGGAGACTGAATTTTGTACGCATCTGATTCGATACATGTCATCCCGTGTTGTATATATGCACATATGGTGGGAGTACTCAATTCACCACTACCAAGGGACGCGGAGTCAATTTTGTGCCATGACTGAACAGGTTATCGGGGTCGTACTTGTGCTTAAGTTCCTCGAGTCGCTTCACGTTGGCGCCGAAGATCTCGTTCGCCTCAACATCGGCAGCTGCATAATTGCCGTACTGACCTACACCACCATCCTTTGACCGTTCCGAGGCGGTTTCTGAGGCTTTCTTGAGAAGATTTCGTGAGAAGGTACGAATTTCGTCGTCGAGTGAAGGATCGAACCTGTGCTCTCTTTAATATTGACTCCTCTGTGATGCTGATTCGGCTTACCATTTCATCATCACAGCCACATTATAGTAGTCGCCACGATTTGAGAAAGCCGTCTTGTCGTTGGCAATCTCCATGACCTTCTTATAAGGAACGGCTTCAAAAAGCATCATGCTTTCGTTCATTCGCTCATGCGACGCCACAAAAGCATTGAACTCAGCGTGAAGCTGCATAGCGAAGTTTGGGTCCATGGGGAGTCTGAAAGCGCCACCACCGAAAAGCTTACGTCCATCAAAGCCGGCTCCTTGATTAAGAAGGCTGTTGAGTTGAGGGTAGGGAATCATGGCGGTCATGTTCGCTATTGGGCCGAGTTCAAATAAGTCGGCGAAGAAGGCGTTTCCTTCTTCTTCGTTACCATTGTGAAAGATCTGGCAAATTACAACCGAAGCATTCGCCGGTGGTGGGGCAGAGAAGCCCATGAGCATCGCTTGGTTGCCGTCGTTGGTAGTATGAAACTTATTTGCGAACTGAACGACCTGTGGTAGCTTATCCGGAAGGAAAACCAGCGGCCCCGCAAACACATGGCTCCTCTGTTGATAACCCTGGAATGTGAATGCCGTCACTACTCCAAAATTCTGACCTGCGCCTCGCACAGCCCAGTATAGGTCGGGGTTTGAGGTGGCTGACGCGACAACTTGTTCACCAGAAGCGAGGACAATGTCAACGGACAAGAGATTATCTGGAAGATGTCAGTAACGCAGACTTTGTCAATACTCATTGATACTGGTTCATGCACATACCAATCGTTAAGCCGTACTTTCCTGTAAGATAACCATAGCCTCCTCCCAGAGTCAAGCCCCCCACGCCGGTATGGTTGACGGTGCCACCTACAGTTGCAAGACCAAACTTGGCAGCCTCAACGTCGACATCTTCCCAGATAGTCCCACCGTCTGCCTTGATTGTTTCGGCATCCACATCGACAATCACCTTGCGCATCTTGGAAAGATCGATGACGATGCCATCTCGGATAGACGCAGCTCCAGACGTGCTGTGGCCTCCCCCTACAGAATGTGAGTCTTTCTCTCACATGTAATTTGGCTGTACTCTGATGTGCTTACCGCGGACTGTGAAGGGGATTCTGTGCTCGCGTATTTGAGCTAAAACCGCGGAGACGTCATGGGCGGACCGGACTAGGACTACAGCAGCCTTTGCTCGTATAAGTGCGTGAACATGATGCAGAAACATTTGTATAGAAAGACAGAACCAAGGGAACGTACAGCTCGTTTTATGCAGTGCTCACTCCACCTCTCGATGCTCTTTTCGTACTCTTCACCGTCGCCCGGAAGTAGGACTTCAGCAGTCGTGTTGTCGAGTAGCTTCTTCAGCGACGGATAGTCAAAGTCTCCAGACCCCAGGCCCATTTTCATAGTTTCGAAACAACTAAACGATGTTGTATAGTTGGTGGGAGCCATCTCTAGCGGGGCGCAGGCTGAGTAAACATGTCGGCACGCATCTGGATTGGGCAGGGCTTAGCGCGTGGACCCTGGATTCAAGATGCGGCGAACTTTGCCTCGAGCGGCCAGAATGCATTGCTCGACAAGATCAAGGTCGGCGTTCGATGATGCTGAAGACGAGAGGCTTACCGTCAGTATGTGCATCGTGCCGACTAAACATTGCCATTTCACGAGCGCGTAGCGCAAGATTACCCTCTCAGACACGGCACGCGCCGCCGCCGCTACGCTTGGTCGCCCCGGAGCCTACAACGCCACGAAGAGCCTTCTCTACAGCCTTTGGAAGACGGCAATTGCAGCAACATGCCTCACGGGATACTGAAGGCTTGCCTCCCTCGGCAGCCGACGCGGTTAGCCACGAAGTCAACGCGCGGAGAGCAAGGCAGCAGTTCGGCGATACGTTGCCGCGGGACCACTTGACCGACGACGAGTACACAATATACAAGAGGCTGTATGGCCCAGCCGTCTTTGCAGATGCTGCCGAAGAGGCGGAACGCGTTGACGGTGCAGTTGACGACGAGATTGTCGAGCAGGAGGGGCCTGATGGTTCCATCGTCTTGCTCAGGAAGGGGGTGGACGGCCAACTCGAAGAGATTGAAGTCGCGGAAGAGGTCGATGCCGAAGACGAGGCAGCTGCTGAGCCGGACCAAGAGACAATGACACCCGCAGAATGGGAAGCGCGCAGGGAGGAAGAGGCGCAGGCATACCACGACGACATCTACGAGCAGAGTCGACTGCAACAAGAGGAAGCAGAGGCCTGGGAGGACGTAGATGAAGGGCAAGAGGAAGACGGCTTTATGCGCGCACATCCATTGACCATCGAGGGCCGCTTCAAGCCATCGCCTTCGACCGTCTTTCTGCCCAAGAACTCGCTCGTCGACCCTACCGCGCTGCTCCTGACGCGCGCCAACCACAAACACCTCGCCGAGTCTGCGAACCGTATCTTTGGCGGTCGTGGTTTGCCTCACTCCGCCAGCACGACCCCTGCACGCTTGGGCCACGAGCAGAAACCAATTCCGCTCCACCCTTCGCAGTCAGATATGGGCAACATCGAGGCTGATGTTTACATGGCTTCTGTACAGCCAGGCACATACGCAAGTGTCATGAGCGCCATGGTTGAAGTCCGTCGCCGATTAGGGTCAGGATGGCTGCAACACATGCTGCAGGACAAAAAGGGTGGCACCATACTAGACGCTGGCTCTGGTGGTGTCGGCGTGCTCGCATGGCACGAGATGCTAGAGGCCGAATGGCAACGTATGCACGAGGACTCGGGAAACACGTCGCTTGGCGCTACCCCGTTGGGAAAGGCGACTGTCTTGACCGCATCTGATGCACTGCGCCACCGTGCAAGCAAGTTGCTGGACAACACAACATTTATCCCGCGACTGCCAGAGACTGTGACAGCGGCCGACGATGCAAACACGCAGCAACCGCGCAAGTTCTATGACGTCATCATTGCGCCACATACACTTTGGCCCATCCGACAAGACTATTTTCGCAGAGAGCAAGTCGAAAAATACTGGTCTCTTCTGAACCCCAAGGGTGGTGTTCTCATCCTCATTGAGAAAGGCCTACCACGAGGCTTTGAAGTTGTAGCCGCTGCCCGTTCATACCTTCTAAACGAACACATATCTTCTCCCGGCTCAGAAACTATCGAGACGCTACTCGAATCTCAGGTGTCAAAACCGGACGAAGAGACTAGATTCTCTGAGAAGGAGACGGGAATGATCGTTGCACCATGCACAAATCACAGCACGTGCCCGATGTATCAGTCTACAGGTGTGAGCCAAGGAAGGAAGGACTTTTGTTTCTTCAATCAGCGGTACATCCGCCCTCCATACCTTCAACGTATCTTGAATGCAAAAGACAAGAACCATGAGGATGTGCAGTTCAGCTACCTAGCCGTCCAGCGTGGACGCGACCAGCGCCTTCCACAATATGACATCCTCGGCAAAGGGTTCGTGCAAGGTGAAGCATCAACCGCCGCAGCTTTTGAAGGGCACGAATGGCGCCCATCATCAGACCCAGGAACCGAAGAGCCCGTCATGTCCTCATCTACCGACGTTAACCCACTCACCTTCCCACGTCTTGTGCTCCCCGCACTTAAGCGCAGAGGCCATATCATCTTAGATGTGTGCACACCTGCTGGCACGCTAGAGCGCTGGACCGTCCCACGCTCCTTCAGCAAGCAAGCTTACCGCGACGCGCGAAAAGTCCGCTGGGGCGACCTCTGGGCCCTCGGCGCAAAGACGCGGATACCACGCAACGTACGTCTAGGCCGGCCAAACGACGAATTCGACAAAAAGGGCAGGAAAGTCAAGAAGGCGAAGCAAGTCACTATCGAAATAGGTGTTGGTGAGAAAGATGGAAGGACCGTCGAGGAAGGCCCCGCAAAGGTGCTTGGCAAGGGAGGGAGGTTGTTGGTTGGTGACCGCGATGGACGGTATACTGCGGATCGGAAAATTCGGGGTAGCAAGGGAAGGAAAGGGAGGAAGCAGAGGGTTGAGCACGATGCTTATGACTTGGATGACGTATGAATGGTGACTATAGGTATGAGTGGTGTATTGTACGATATGGCCGATTCCGCGGATTCAGAGAATTGCCGCTCAGTTCAAGTTCTCTTCCATTTCGCTTCCTGCGCGGCGCAGTTCCGTTGTATTTCAACCTACCAAACGGCCAAATATCCCGATTCGCCAAGTCATGTTGATTGGCAAGTCTTCGCTTGGCACCGATTACGTCCTGTTTGTAACTCTTCATGCACGTTCCCGACGTCCTCCTTCTGGATTCGTCCTCTTGGCTTCTCACCTACTCAACGACTGGCAAAGAGCGAGAATGTATGAAAGCAAAGTCCGGGGTGATTGTGCTGACATACAGGTATGCAGCACAGATTATAAATGCAACGGGACTCTGGAAGCTGGCGGATGGATGGGAGGCTGCCTGATTGTCCGTCCCACTGCATATAAGTATCAACGGAGGGCACATGCATCTTCAATAGGACCACCAACCGCTTCTGTATCTTGGCCCCATTTGTCTCTTGTCTCATCGTACCGCCTCACGCACCTGGGCAGCATCAATCCAACATCATGTCCACCAAACCCGTCGCCCTCATTCTCGGCGCAGGCCCCAATGTAGGCTTAGCCATAAGCACCTCATTCACCATCCTGAACTACCGCGTTGCAACTGCCTCCCGATCCGGCACGAACAGCATCAACCCCGACACGGGCATCCTCACCCTGAAAGCCGATTTCACGGCGCCAACATCCATTCCCAACCTCTTCTCGCTCGTGCTAAAAGAGTACGGCACATCGCCCAGCGTTGTGGTCTGGAACGCCGCCGCGCTGACGCCTCCCCCTGTGGAAGAGAGCGTGCTATCCATATCCCAGGAACAATTTGCCAAAGACCTGAATGTCAATACCGTGAGTCCGTATGTGGCAGCGCAGGAAGCGGTCAAGAGCTGGGAAAGCATGGGGGAGGAGCATGCAGGGGATAAGAAGACGTTTATCTACACTGGCAATACGCTGAATCAGACCATTGCGCCTGTCCCGCTGTTCTTGACACTGGGTGTGGGAAAGAGCGCGAGTGCGCATTGGGTTGGCATGGCAGATGCTTTGTACAAGGAGAAGGGGTATCGGTGAGTTGTTTTTCCCCTCTACGCAACACTTCTCTTGCTGTCAACGTGTGGGTTGAACATGGGATGTTCTGCTAATATCGGGTTATAGGTTCTTCTATGCAGACCAACGACAGCATGGTAAGAAAATGACTATACAAACCGCATATGAGAGATACACTGACTTCATAACTTACATTTGCAGATGGTGCACCCATGCTAAACGGTGTAGATGGCCCTGCGCACGGCGCATTCTATGCGCAGTTGGTGCAGCAAGAAAGGGATGTACCGTGGTTAGCTACGTTTGTCAAGGACAAGGGCTATGTCAAGTTTTAGACGTGTCAGGATCGCGACTTTGCTTGAGAGGTGGAGCTATGGAAAGATTACATGCACGGGTCATTTCTATAGATGAATTTGATTAATGTCAGCATGGCCTATATACAGACGACCCGCTGCCGTCGACTACGACTGCTAGCCCAACGCAAACGCTCTCGTTATATGCCGTACAAAGTAAAATGGGTATATCCTCCTTCCGGCTTATGACACCAGTGCAAACGCTAAAAAGAAAAGTAGTGGTCCCTCTAAACCGAGTGTAGGCTCGGTTGACGCCCAGTGATGCAGCAAGACATAAGAGAGTATGTGTAGATGAAATGTATGATGGATGCTCAGATCATCAAGCCGGCACCAATTGCGACGGCGCTCAGGCCTGTCTCGCGACTGTCCTCGCTCGTTCGTCGCTTTCCTAACGTCTTCAGTTGACGCGCGGTATCCATCTTTGTTTGCGACATGCCAGACGGCGATGGTGGGCCTGATGGGCCTGTAGCATCGCTGTTTGACTTGGAGCGCATAGGGCCTAGGTCTTCGCCGAAAGTGATTGAGGTGATGGAATCATCACTGACACCACGAATAGGCGAGCTGGGTCTCTCTGATGAGGCAGCAGCGGATTCAGTTTTGTCTGCGGTGGCTGTTGGTGAGCTGTGGATCGTTGTAAGCCTTGCAGAGCGTTTGGACCTCGCGAAACCATGTACGTCGTAACGGGGTGGGTGCGGGGTATAGTCGACGAGCATGTGCGCCTTGACGCTAATGCGGAAGCGTTGGCCTTTTCCAAAGACTACGTCGCTGACACGTGGAGAAGAAGCAAGCAACACTGGAGCGCAACGGCGGCGGTAACGCAGGGTGTGCGCAGGGCAAGGTCGGATCGCGGGTGCCGATTTGGAATCTGACGATGATTCACTCTCAGGACGCTCGTCATCACCTTGCTCGTAGTCGTGTGAAGAGATGGGTGCTAGCGATTCTCTCGCATGCCGCGTCGGGAAACGAACGTCTTCGGGGTCGAAGTCGTCGAATTCCAGGTCTGGCGCAGGTGCTGCGTGGCTGATGCCCGAGTCGCGGGTGCCAGCCAGATGTGGGTAAAGTTGGCGGATAATTTGCTCCTGTTGTGCAACGATGCGTCGGCCGGCTTCTAGACTTGTCAGACTCTCGAGGTTTTCTCCGAACTGCGCGTTGTCCAAAATGCGTTGACGCCTGCCCCTTCGAGGAAGACTTCTGTAGCGGGGCTCGCTGCGATCTTCTAGGGGTGCACTGATGTCGATGGCGGCGCAAAACAATTCCACCCAGTCGAGCATGCCTTGCTCGGTCGACGGACAGAGCAAGAACTGCTCAAACTCCAGGCGCAGGCGGATGGCATGTTCCCGTACAGGCTCGAAAAGCTGTGGATCTGTTTCGTACAGTTTAGGCCGAGCGACAGCGGGCACCAGGTGGGCGAAAGGAGACTTTGGTATCAGCAACGTCTTCTTGAAATCAGATGCCACGCCAACTTCAGCATGCTGCAAGGAATAGGTTCGCAACAAGCGACCTGGGCATGGCTCTTTGTTCTTGCTGAGGAGACGCGGGTACTTTATGCGGTGTATGCTCAACTGCGTGCCTCGAAGTATGGCGTAGACATCATGCCATTCTCGATGTCCCGAGACCTGGAATGGCGAGGATAGTTCCTGCTTGATGCCAACAAGTCCTTCCATCTCGACGGTGCAGGTGTAGGGCGGGGGTGAGTGGATACTGCGCACTGCCTCTTTCTCTCTCCTTGTCCTTTCGTCTAGGACGCGACGGGTCTGAGGATCGGTTGCGCGAGCATACGAGGGCGGCGACCCGATGGGCAGTTGGGCGTGGGTGTGGTAGGTGTTGTGGTATCCATATGTTGACGTGGCCGGCGAAGGGTTTGTCGAGCGAGGCCGTGGTGCACGTGTTTGAGCCATGGCTTCAGTGGTCGAGTCTATGGAGCAGGGCGGTGCGTTGAAGAGTAGATGGCTGCAAGGCTGCAGGGCTCTTGGCCAAGGTCAGGGCACGACTTTAGTGTAGGTATCGGCGCTGTATTTGGAAGCGGCGTGTGGTGCCAAAGCAGCTCATGGACCTATCGAGGAGAAGGCGCCATGAACGGGTGGCTTGCGGTAGTGGTTTGACGATGGAATCCCCGGACTCGATGTGTCACAGTGATTTGTTCTCGTCAGGAAAAAGTAAGTCGAGCAAACGGACAAAGTCCAGTGTCGCTGTCGAGATGACGCCACAGGAGCTGCAGAAGCGAAAGAAGCGGTGGCAGGCGCGTTGGGTATATCTAAAAGCGACGACAGGGGTGGTCCTGCTGTGGAATGAAATGCGGACGGGGCGCGTCGTATGTGACCGAGGAAGATGCGACACAAGTCTGGCGGAGAGATTGACAGCGCAGGGCAGTGCGAATGGAAGCTGACGGAGAAGAGGAGCATCACTTGTTGCTATCAGCTGCCCTGCAGTTGTTGGTGCCATGCAAGGATAACTCGTCAAGGCCTGAAGACGTTCCAGATGCCGCTAACAGGACCTAGAAACAGGCCCACCCGCCCCTTTGAGCCAAGTCGAGTCCTGCACCTCTGCAAGCGATCCGTCGTCCGCCGCACTCCACTCCACCCTGCGTGCTTTTTGCCTCAGCTGGGAATCTCGCGCACCTCCCACCGAGCCTAGAATCACCACACCATCGCTTTTCTCGCTGCTCCCACACCACGCTGACAGTCTCGGCTCCACCACCATGACACGCCCCGCGCCCTGCTAACGCAAACCGCGCCACTTTAGCTGAGTCAGGCCTCGCCCTAGGTCGGCTTTATCTTGGCTTCGACACATGACGGCTTCTTGCCCTAGGCATGCGGAAGTCATCAGCTAATTGCAATCCCACGGCTCGGGTTCGCGGTACGCTGGCGCAGGCGGCACGCGTTCGCCGCTTGTCTTTGTCCTCCGTACCTCGGACACGCTCGCCTTGTGGCCTATACTGACCGACACACGCAGGTCGCACCCTCCTGTCCGAATCCAGATATCGCCAACACCTTCTCCCTGCTCGACTGTCTTCCTTTCTTCTTTGCCGCTCCTTTTCGAACACCATCTTTTTGTCTTTCCACGTCATCTTTCCGTCATTTTCGCGTCACCTGTGAGGCAATCCTGCTTGCGCCGCGCCAGACATTTCGATAAACAATTTCCGTGGTACGGTTTGCGTACGGTGAAGAGTCAGATGACTATCGCAATCTCACATTAGCCCTAGGACAATCATACATCGCACAGCGGATATCTGCAGTGCTGCACTCTATCCGGCATATTCGTGGCAACCGGCACCTTTGTCTCGACAGCTTCGTCTAGTATCCTGGTCTTGATTTGAAACCTATGATCCTCTCCATACCGTCATCATCCATCACCTTAAATTTCGCTGATGCCTCCGTGGCTGGTTACTCTATTCTTCAATAGCAGATCGAGAGCTACATTTGAGTAGGTCTGTCACCGAGGTAGTGCTCCAAAGAGCGCTGACTAGTATTTGGAGGCAAGTTAAGATGAACCCATTGTAAAACACAGCCACTCGTAAACCCTTCAGCCACGCATTCAGCCGCATCATAACGAAGGAAAGGAGTCAAGCAGAGCAGA